CCCCAAAACCCCAAAACCCCAAAACCCCAAAACCCCAAAACCCCAAAACCCCTTTTTATATTTAATAAATTGATAGTTGGCAATAATGAAAAAGCTAGATGTTTAGAAGATGTGTGAGCTATCTATGTAATCGTGAAGAATAAAAACTCACCATCTTAGGTTACATCTTTGTTATATACATTAACCAAAAGTTTAAATAAGCCTCTAAATGACTATTCGTTGCTTATCTTCCCTTTAAGGGACTTATCAGTAATTCTTTGCAGGAAGCTGTCTATCTCTTCTCTCAGTACTAGATGTGACCCTGATAGTAGCTGCTTGAGGAAGAAGAGACTTGAGTTAGGCTTCTCTGTAAATCTATCAATTGGTATGAACAAATCTAGATGATTTATATACGAGTAAATTTCATTGTCTATGAACATCACAGATGACCTAGCCTCACTCCTTTTCTTCAATATTTTACTCATGTTTTTAATCTTGGCATCAAAGGAGATCTGTCCAGTGAGTTCTTCAGCTTGAGAGATTTCTCTCTTCTCTCCTGTGATATCTTCAACAAGAGAGGGCTCTCAGAGGAACTTGGCATTAGTACAGGAATTTGACCCAAAAACAGCTAAGAATTCGATTCTTCCTTCGGTATCCATCTCTGTGATGGCGGAAAGGACTTTGTTGAGCATGGAAATTTTCTCTCTTGAGTAAATAATTACATCAAAGTTCGTTCAGATGTAACCCAAGAATGCAACAGCAAAGTTATTTAGATAGAGATATTTAACTTGTCCATTCTCTTGTGAATCTTTGTCTTGATAGACCAGGTCTGGGTCTATCCCATCAATTCGAGACTCTCGCATTGTGTAGATGATGCTTTGGGGTTCAAGCACAATGGTTTCCTTAGTCTCATCAGCAGAAGTGACTCAGGGTCCAGTGGGGTTTACTGGAGCTGATCTGTTCAGAGCCTTGGTCTTATTTTAAGACCCCTTTCGGCTTTGCTTGTACAGATTTGATCTTCTCTTTGAGAGGTTCTACCAAGAGATACTGTGCGCTTAGCTGCTTGCTTGCTCATGTCTGCTGGCTAATATACTTTACATAGCTTTCTGGAGTTTTCAGGTCCTTTACTATATTCGAGATAAGAACAACATGCCAATTTTCCCGAAATTTTCAAAAAATTTACATATTTTTAGAATAAATTGTTTGCCAAGTAGCTTTAAAGAAGAAAAAATTTGAAAAATTTCAAACAAGAAATCTGCTACCGACGATACATAATAGAAAATGACTTACTTGAGAAGGAAGAAGCCAGAGGGAATTCTGGGTCGTTCACTTTTTCCTCATCTTCTCTAAATTATTTATAAATTATGAACAAAGCGAGCAGAAGAGGTAGGGTAATTACATTTCATCATCCTTTTTCTCAAAAGTGAGGGTCAGCAAGTGATGGTGTTTGAACCTGGGAGTTCCTTCAGAGGACTCCTCCTCATCTCGCTCAAAGAACGAGTCATTCTCCGAGCCTAGTGAATTATCTTTGATGGAGAATTTGTTCTCTTCCAGTCTTGGCATTATATCATCACCATCATTTTCATGGAAATCCTCCTCAATAATTCTGGCATTATGTAGGTTTATGGAGGGTGGAGAAAGGATGTTTTTGCAACTGGAAATCCTGAAGGGATCCTTTTCTAATGTTGACCTCATCTTGATAGGACTACTTGAGGAAGCACTAGAGTATTCTCCACTTCTATTCTATAATAGCATTATAAATAACTGTTTGAAAGGAGGATCTGAGGTGGTCTGGGACAAGTACAGAGGAAAGAGGCAATATTTCCGTCAGTTTCAGCAAAATTCCTGAAAAATGCGACCTGAGTTAACTTACTATGTACAGATAGGGTTCCTTTCCTGGTGCTACAGTATGCTTTCTCTGAAACACTTTTGAGGTTATTTGTGTTCTAGACCTAGGTTATCAATCTGAAATAAAGACTAGTTGTTGAAAATAGTGAACAGTAATTCAAAAATAACTGGGCGAATTTTGTAATATTAGGAGAACCAATATTGCAAATCTTTGCTCGTATCTACTCTTTGGTAGAAGCTCTACTGATTATTTCTAATTTTTATAAGATTTCGTATTTTTGCAGTTCAGATGAAGGCCTCTGAGCTGGAAAGTTTGTAAGGATTCTGTTGCAAATGATCAACCATAACCTCCATTGAATATAATGAAATGGACGATTTAAGTATGAAATTTTAACTAATTAGATTATAATTAGGCCAAGATTTGAGTATTTGATCCCTCCTGCTTTTGGAAAAATTCTTAATACAAAATTTTGGATAAGATAGGGAGACCCAGCAGTTACAATGTCAGCTGAAAATTGTGGGATGAGTGATTGTTGATATTTTGGGATGATAGGAAAAACTACTAAAATTTACTTAGCTCATATCTAACAGTAACAGACCATTATTGATTGCTAAGAAATCCTTAGTTAAAGAAACCGAAGAGAATTATATTGCATTATTTAGAAACTAGTCGATCTTTTCAAAATAAAATTGATAATTTTTGTGTTTCTGCGAGAAACTTGAATTATTTTATCAAGTGTCTTTGCTTCCAGAGGGCTGAAAGCAAGTAAGATAGCTTACATGATTGCTTAGACTAATAGGCTTTCGAGTTAGAGCTCCTTCCTCCAAGGAGAATTCATTAGAAATCTCTGAGGCCTCCTCCTCTCAGGATAGCATTTCTTGTAAGAGAAAGACTTCCAACTTTTCTGGTTCTAAAATTAAAAATAAGATGCAAAAATTATTGACACTTACCTTCAATTCAACCGGATGTAAATCTCTTCCTAATCTTCAAAGAATCAAGGTAATTTCTATTAGTAAGGTCTGTAATCCTTTTTGTCTTCATGGGTTGTCTGTCCATTTTAGAATATATTACAAATCAATTATTTCCTCATCTATAGGGGTTTTGGGGTTTTGGGGTTTTGGGGTTTTGGGG